GAGGCGACGGGCGGGATTATTTAGATAGCCTAGCTTAGATAGATACACATACAGATTATAATTTGCACCCCTAAAGCGAAAATGATTTGCCACCAATGTCATATATGTTATATGTTTATTAATTATAAGTAACTTCCTGAAAAGCCAAAAAAGAGTTCTTGGATGTTATCGGTGGTCTGCTAGACTGGTGAATAGCATGCTTGCTGCTGAAAGCGTTACGTTGGGATTTCACGACGTTTCAATTTTATGAACGGCACCAATTCCATATGTATATGCTTCGTACCCAACAGAACACAAGCAGCACCTCAGAACACACGGCACTTCCCTAGATAGTTAGCGAAGAGGGATGGGACTAGAGGACAGACGAGAAATAAGATAAATTTGTCGTCTGCTAACTGAGTACTTTTTTATTTATTTATATTTTTGGTTATATTAGATATAAAAGGACGCAACCGCTTTCGATTCCGTACTAAATCGACTCGAACATAATTGAACCACCCTTCTTCGCCCACGTAGTTAGCTTTAAATCGGTAAAGTGAACCATTAGTGTAGAGGATTTCTAGAGCTATACTCCTTTAGAAAAAAGTCTAGATTCGAGTCCTAGCCATTCCTTGAAGTATAGTTGAGAGTTTCGTATATATATAAGTTTTCTTCACATTTAATATAGTAAAATGCTTCTTCTTTAGAAGTACTTCTGATCATAAGCCGCTTCTAAGCCAAAATGCCCTGTCCCTTTCATATTAAAAAATGTTAAAATTATCATAAAAATCCAAGAGCTTACTGGCATAAAGCACTTAGGACTGCTTCCAAAGAAACAGCATACTGAGGATGCTCTCCATAAAGAGTTTCTAGATCTCAAAGCCACTTTTCAAAAATGCGCTGTTACCCCTTTATAAGCACTTCCAAAGAGACCCTAGGATTTTCGGCCTCCACTTCTAACAATCCGAGTCATCTGAGAGATTTGCGGAACTAAACGCAAGTTTTAGGCCTCGGGAAGCTTTAGGCTTTATGTGTGAGTGAAAGTTTGAGAGTACGGTTGGGTGTGTGGATTTTGACATTAAGAGATTGTTGGACATTCTTGCAATTGCTTTGCTCCTGGTTAAGTATCCCCCCAAAAAAAAGTGTGTTCGTTCTTTTTCTTTTGGCATTTCTCTATCTTTGCTGCTTGTTTTGTGTTTTGGTGTTGAATCTTGTCACAATATATTATATATTGCAAATATCTTTGATTATTGCTGATGATTGAGCACAGAGAAGCTATGATTATTGGAGATAAGCTTTGGTCCTATAAAAATTTTGGTATGAATGAAAACAAAATGAAGAGGGGAGAACAAAATTAATTATGTTTGCAGTGCGGAAGATGGAAAAACAAAATTGGAAGAAACAGGAGTGTGAATTTAACATAGCGCAAAGCAAAGAAAAAAAAACCACATCCGTATTTAGTAAAAATTAGCAGTTGTTACCGAAGAACGCCAGACAATATGGACAGTTTTTTCGATTCTTTTGAGAGATGAGCATATATAGAATATTAGCTCTCACTCAAGAAATTGGGAGTTTCTTAAGGAAAGACAAGAACCCAACGCAAACCCTCAAAAAATGCCTTCTTCTTTCGTCACCCACAAAAGAGACTTACAAGTTATACCCTTTCCTCCCGATAATTTAACGGCTACCCTCAACCTTGTCTTGAAAAAGGGCTTTCCAGCACAGTCTCTCAAACAGAGCTATTTTTACCGGAGAAATAAACCAGACCATTACAAATCCCTCTAAACCCTCTATATCCACACCTAAACTAACCAAGTTATGCTTCCCCATAGACCTCTACAAAACAACCTTCAATCTGGACATGAAGAGACGATTATCTAATAGAATCTCTAGCAGCGACTATCGATTGAAAACCAAACATGACTATCTCGATAGATTCGAGGGAACCCATGTGGAGGGTATGGCGGTCTGGAGATCGGGCATGGTAGTTTTCGCGAGTCACGGTACACTTGCAAATGGGACTCAGAGCTCCCCTGCCCTTTGTTCTTCAATTTCATCATCCTCTCTACATGAGGTGAGATCAAGGGTGATTGAAGCTTAGATTGCCCTTGAGAAGTTCCTTCTTTAGCCTATTCACATTCAGTCAACAGCAACCACACTTAGATCTTCCTTCTCTTACAATTCTTGGAGTCTTGAGTCTTGATTTGTAGCTCCCAAAAGCCGTTCGCTTTGTGGATCGAAGGTATAACTTCCCCCAAAACTCTGGCTAGTACTATGTTTTGCGTCAAAATTCAATGTAATTTAGGATTATAAGATTTCAGGTACTTTGCATTGTCTTTCCTATCTTGTCGCGAGGCCACCCTTAGCATGGCAAGATGAATATGCAGCTCTGCCTCTAAAATCCTTCTCTTCTACTGACTTCTTCTCCGAATTTTCGTGCTTTCTAAAAATTGTGTCTTACGCAAAGCTTTCTCTCATTGGATTTCAGGCTCTTCAGAGGAACTTCTGTCTTTTCTGGCTCGTGGGGTTCATCTTGTGATCTCTTTTGTCATGTTGAAGTTGAGAGTGAATCAGTAGAACCCATAACTAGTATCCCCCCAATTTGCCTGCGCAAACCTTCCTTTTTCGAAGTGAGACTTCCCCTTGACTCCGCACACCCACGTCCTCCATCTCCACTGCCGGGACGATTTGGAGTAATGATGGCTTCTCTACCTATTGACAGGAAAGGATTCTGAATGGCCACCCAAGGAACAGTTCTTTCAATGCCTTACACATGATACGCTCTCGGCAGGTTTTTCCACCACTCTTTTTGTCTTCTTTCCACCGATTTCCCTGAAGCAGGAAACACGAGTGCCCAAGAGCAGCGGATCGTACTTCCTTGCCTTCAGTGCCTTTTCAGAGAATTCCAAACTTGGTTCCCCACTTGAATTTTTTTGGCACCCCATTATGAAATTGCACTCACATTGTGTGCCACGATTGTGGTCCCTGAAATCTGGCCCGGCACGCGAAGATTAGGAGCCCATGGGGTGCGTTTCTACGAAGCTGGATCATGACCACGGTGAGATTGAAATTCACACCGGGGAGACCCCATTTCTGGTAACCACCCCGTGATGTTGCAGCATAAGAGTCTTCTTTCCAACTAAGCCTGTTGTGTTTACAAATTAGCAGAGCCTCCAACTGTTCGAACTTATGCCTTCCCGCCTTGGTCGCATGCACGCAGACATGTAACATCATCTGCTCCACTTGTCCTCCTCACTCCCACTCCGCTCCCAAGGCACTTCATCCTGAAGACTTATAATGATATATCAGAATTAAAATAAAGAAAAATAATAATAAATCAATCTTGCTGGGCTCAGTATCACTAGGTTCTTTTTTTCTTTTTCTAAAGTTGTGATCCATAAGTCAAAAGTTCTTTCACAAATGTGAAATGGTACCTTTTGACGGGCTTCGGTGCCATGTGGTTGCAGCCAGGCAGGCATTTCTGCTGGCCAGATTTCAGCTGCTGAGCTTCTTTTTCATAATTGAAGTGCATTCTTCACAGCAAGTGATGTTATGATCTTGTTCATCTTTTCTGTTGAATGGTTTTGGTTCTAGCCACTTCAGATGGGCTCTGAGAGAAGATTATTCTTGAGTCATGGACACTGTCAAACATATAAAATGCAACACACGTCAGCTTCTGTAAATAGCAGCTTCATTTATCACTGCTATATCAAGATCAAGTATTTAATTAATATGAAGCAGCTATCTAAAACTAAAAAAACAGAATTCTATTTTGCTAATACAACTGTTTGAAGAACACGCTTGATAAAGAATATAGTATACATTGGACAGATGCAATTATCTCGAGAACAAATTAGCTGCAAACGGGGACATCTCAATAATGCTATGCTACATGGAAATGTTATCACGCATGTCATAGTGCTATTGGTCCGTTTCATGGAATTCTTTCTCCATTATCTCAGACATCTGTACACCTTTGTACTTTTATGTTAGTTTTTTTTTTTGGCCCCTTGTCAATGGGGGACAAAATTCATTTAACTGAAAAAATATATATATATATTTATTTTGCTTTTAAGTAACTATAATGCTCTAAGGGTTCTCCAAAATAGTTTGCTACATGGAAATGTTATCACGCATGTCATAGTGCTATGGTCCGTTTCATGGAATTCTTTCTCATCTCATCTCAGTACACCTCTTTGTACTTTTTTTGTATTTTATTTTTTTTTTTTTTTTTTTTCCCCTTGTCAATGGGGACAAATTCATTTAACTGAAAAAAAATATATATATATTTATTTTGCTTTTAAGTAACTATAATGCTCTTAAGGGTTCTCCAAAATAGTTTGCTTAGTTAAGTTGGAACTTGCAGAGTCCTATTCCTTTAAGTAAGACAACCAAAATAAACAGAAAACAGTTCTTTATTTTGAAATGTAAACAGGGTTTCTGATTTTTTTTATTTTTTTGTTTTGTTTATTAAAGGTGAACAAAATAAACAAAACAAAAGAAAAAAGAAAAAAACAGACCTTGTAAACTTTTGTTTTTGTTTTTTTCCATCTTAAACATCTATCAGTGAAAACTGTAATTTTGATCAGTAGCTTATACAACCTGACAAAACAAAGAGAAAAGAAAAGGACACCGGTTCGTTCGTATATCTGTCTCCCTTTGCCTAAGTGGTTCTGATTTCATGCAGACCATGTAACAGAATAGTACAAAACATTAAAGCTTCAAGAACTGATCTATGGAGGACTTATGCATCATCTATCAATAACAGACATGAAAATAATAATAATAATAAAATATTATTATTATTAAATACAGCAAGAGATGATGATTTACCTGGAACCATGGAGGCTCAAACCAAGTCCACCTGATGGAACAGAAACAGCTTGAAGACACCATTGGATCTCAAGAGGTGGTTGCCTCATTTGGCACCTCATGTATGTCTGGTAACTTGCAGTTGCCATCAACCAAAACCTTTGGCTTTGAGCTCGAGTTTGAGCTATTTTTCATAGTCTGAGACCAACCTTGAAATTTCTGCAACTAAATGCTCAACTGGGCTATAACCAGTTGAGGCTTGATCTCTTCTCTCATCATCATTAATAGTCCATTTCAAGTCTCCTGTGTAAATGATAGCACCTCCTCCTCCTCCTCCTGCTGCACCTCCACCTGATGCAAGAGAGGAGTCTATATTTCTTTTCAGCTCTGAAAGATGTGCTTCAATATCTTCTCTCTTCATGAACCCTCAGAGAAACTGGTGAGAATTGGAACTTGATGAAATGGGTTTGATTTCAGTTCCTCAGGAACTTGTAGGCCTCTTTCTATCCTCCCCATGACCTCAGAAACAAGGCCTTCAGTTATGGACATAGAATCACCAACTATCACAGTGTTCCTCTCTCTTCTTCCTCAACAAGACCTCAAACACCAACTTGATATCTTCCTTAGAAGCAGAGTGCTCTGTGGAAGTAGTAGTGGTACTGGTGGGGTTGATCAATGAAAGTTTTGTCTTTTGTGGGGAAAAAAGAACTGGGTTTTGCTCACAAGTGTAAGACAAGAAATGAGTTTGCCAAAAGTTACCAGGAATATTATTATTTTGATGGTGATGATGATGATGATGATCAGTGGGAGAGAAAGGTGAACAAGGAGAAGAGAAAACCCCACCAGAGCTACTATAAACACTGAAAAACAGAAGAGGTTGATGTGTCCTCTAAGTTGTTCTTGACATTAGTGCTAGAGAAACCAGCTTCTCTCATAACCCTGCTGACACTTGGGTCATCAAGGATGGAGATGATAAGCTGCTCCAACTCAACTTTGATGGTTAAAGTGGCTGCTGCTGCTGTTGTTCTATGCAGCCCCTTCTCTGGTGGGCTTGTGCTCTCTTGAGTGCTGCAATCAGAGCATTGGAGAGAGAGGGCTGGCCATGGAGCAGAGGGCCAGGAGTTGTTGGGAGCCTGTTGAGAGCCACATTGAAGCAAAGCTCAAGAGCTCTGCATTGGAGAGGATGAGAAGTTTGGTGTGGCTGAGATTTGAGACAAGCCCTCCTCAAAAGACTGGTCCTTGAGCTGAGCAAAGTGGCAGCCACATGAAGAGGAGTGACCTGAGCATGGCCTCTCCTCCTTGCCAAGCTGAGAGAGTGCTTCAAAACTGAAGCAGCCTCCGCTGTGAGGGTCTGCTGAACCGCACAAGTTCCTGAGCGCATCACTGGACCAAAACCCACCCCCCAACCCACCCCTTAGTTTGTGACAACTTATCTTCAGAACCAGAATATCACTAGTTTCTTTTTTCCTTCTCTTATAATCCCCCTCTTCCTCAACACCACCACCCCCACCAACTATTAACCTGAGAAGAAGAAGCTAAGGAAAAAAAATGGAACTTTGGAAACTACTATCACACACCCACCAGCTCAAGTAGAAGTAGAGAGAGAGAGAGAGAGAGATAGTGAGTTTTAGAAAGATGAGCTTTCAGCTGATAGAAGGGAGTTTAGTTGAGCTTTAGAGAAAACCAGGCTAGACTAGGCCACCTTCTTTATACTCCCTGCTCTTGAGTTTTCTTTTTATTTTAGTACTATTTATGTTTTCTTTTTTTGTGATTAGCTTTTGTTAGCTTTTCATTTCCACTCCATTGCTTCTTTCTCTCTCTTCTGTTCAGAGTTAACAGTACTGCGCCATCTTTTTATCACCCATTCTTATGTCATTAAGATTTTTGTTTTTGGAGACAATTAGTATAAAAAAGTAACTTTTTATAATCATTTTCATCTGTTGGGACTTGCAAATCTCAATATACATGGTAAGTTTTAATGGCATATGATGCACTTATATATATATCTATATATCAAATAATTTTTCCCTCATTCATTATGATCATCAAAAGCTGCAAAAGGAAGATTTCAATCCTACCCTTACTCTTTTTTTTTCTTTGTTACTTCAATGATAATAGTATCAATGTGCTTCATAAATATTCACAACAAGAATAAAAAAATCTTAGGATATATACTATATAGTAACAGTATCAAGCCCTTTCTGCTGTGGAAGATGGTATCATTTTTATGCAAATGGGATTTCATCAAAAGGGTCCATTACATGGGATGGGACCCAAAATTCAAATTTTTATCGTGGCACAAGGAGAGAAAGAGAGCTTCCCTCCTTTTTACACATCAGCCTTTGAATGGACAGACAAAGCCAGCAGAAATTCAAAAACAGTACTAAAGGGGGAAAGGTGGAAAGAAGCCAGCTGAGTGTGTGATGAAAGATAAAAAAGGCCACACTCCTATTTTATATTTATTTCATTGTTTTTTCCCCTTCCAAATTTTCCTTTCTCATGTTTATCATTTGTTCTTTAGATGCATGACAGATATGTACAAATATTGGCTTGTTCTTAATCTTAACATAGAGAGAGAGAGAGAGAGAGAGAGAGAGAAGAAAAAGAAAAGGAGCCTCTCTCTTCACGCTAATCCTCGTAGAGAGACAGCATTTTATTCCTCAAGTACCCAAAAAGCAACCCTCTGTCTGCTATCCTACATAGCATTATTGCTTCTCAGGCTCTGAGGCTCTCAGTCTCTCTCTCTCTCTCTCTCTCTCTCTATGTCTGCTGTGCAAACTGCAAAATTACCTTTTGTTTTAATCCCATCTCATTTCCACCTCCCACTTATCAACTTTCACGTTTTACTAAATGAAGTTAAGCAGAACCTACAGTTTTAATAAACCAGAAGATGTGTTCACATTCTTTGTTCATGAAAGACTCACAACAACTCAAAACCTTTGGTTTGCCATACTCGTCGACCAACAAACATGTCCTGCATGCAAACAATTTACTTACCGGATAACTTTTACTTAGTCACTTTTTTGACTGGTTTTTGGTATCATCTTTTCACCACCCTTTACTGACCACTTTGCTTTTAAAACCTTCTCTTATTTGTTCTATAGTGCTTGCTTTATTTTTCGTTAAATGATTCCAGGTTGAAGCAAATTGAACTGTCTGAATTTTTTTACTGTCTTTTGTACCTCTTAGTTGAATTAATTAGTAACAGACAAAATGATCTGCTGATGACTACTGAGATTTTGCAGACCATGTTAACTAAGCTAGTTTAAACAGTAATATTGCCATCTATCTGGTTGAAATATTTTGAAAGTTTAACAAAAAAAAAAAAGCACTAGGAAGAATAGCATCTAAATATGGGTGATAAAAAGGAAGATATTGAAGGGTGATTTTCCCAGTTTCTATTGCATTAAAAGGAGCCAAAGGAAACTTGCTGAACCCACCTAGCTAGTTCAAAGTGTTTTGAAAGCATATTCAATCAATCTTATAAAAGATTGAAATGCACCAATATTCTAACTTCAACTAGTAATTTTTCGCGAAAAGCAAACATGAGATAAAAAATCCAGTCTTTCGCTTAGATTTTGAATAGTTGTCCCGAATTAATTTTCAATTACAAGCAAAATCAGAGTAATGATAATGAACTACTATTGCAATGTGTACACAATAGTAGTACTGCAAGAGAATGGAGCTTCATCATAAGCCAAAAGCACTTTTTGGGTCAAAAAAGTAGAAGCAGATATGGATCAAACAAGGATTATGAGATCGAAGTTGAACTTTTGAGCTTAGTTTAACAATGAGCACCACTTTTGCAGTCAAAGTCATAGATATCGTCTAGCTAGCTAGGTTAAAATTTCATGCAAAATCCATTGGCATTTACCAAAAATAGTCAAATTAACTAATTTAATACCCTTTTATCTATATTTAATTTATGACTCTTTGTCATTTACATCCTATCTCATGATTGAAAACTTCATGTGTGAGATTTTCATTCTGTGATGATAAAGATAAAAAGTTTTTAAGACAGTGAGTAATAAATGTCATAATATATGATGAGTTTGGGGCATTTTTGTCTGTTTCCATGAGCACCCACATATTTTTAACAAATGGGGCACTTCATCATATGCAGCTTTATGCAATTATTATGCTTTACATAATAATTACAGGCTCATTGTGGGGTTATAGTTCATCAATGCCCCTACCCCAAATTGAAGAGATTAATTTTAATTAATTTTTTTAGTGAAAAAAGGGAGTGCCCAAATCATTAGAACATTATTTTTTTTCAAAGTGGCGAGAATTGGGTTTTGCTCTAGTTTGAAGAAAAGTATCCCTTTATGAGATTAATTGGGATTACGAAATTTCGTGTGTTGTATGAATGCGTCATCTTATGATTTGGTTTACATTTTCCCTAACACATTTTCAACAAAGCAACAAAGTATAAATTACAAGCTACACTATGTGAAACATTTTGGCCCACATGCCAAAAGCCAGTGTACCACCGGGTAGGTAACTCATTTACCCATTTACCACCCGGGTAAAATGTTTCCTTTTTTTTTTTTTTTTTTTTCTTTTTTTTTTTTGAAGTGCTGAAAAAACTATTACAACGAAGATCCTCTCAGGATCTTACACTCATGCAAGTCAAAATTAACCCTATTCAGTAGATCCAACGGGAAGTTACTAAACCACATACAAGAATTTGTAGTAGGTACATGATATCTTCAATGATGGATCTTAAGGACCAAGGAGTCTGTATCTGTTTCTGCAAGACTTATATAAGAATCTTTGAATCAAGATCAGTGTTTCGTATCAGAATTAATAGTAAACTGCCCAGAAGAAGAATTGCCCCAAATTTACAAACTGATCTTCAGTGGGAATAAGTGGAATATGAATAGCTTGGGTCAAATGTTTCCTATTTTCAACGGTTCTTTGAGGATATGCTAGAGTGTGGTTCAGTAAAAGAGTTATTTTTTATGATTAGGATATGGGGGTAGAAAATAATTGGGTGTGTTGAGCATTAAGAGAGCTACCGGAATTTTTCATTCAATGATATTTTAAGGGAGTTGTTATTGGCACTCTAAAAATGTCATTTTACACTTTTCTGGTAGAGAAACATAAGAGAGAAATTGCATCCAGAGGAGTGCCGGATTACTTTTTTGAAGAGCTCTTAGCCTATTAACAGTTCCCTACTATAATTCAATTTGCTTTGTTTTTTCTTTAGGTTTCTTGACAAGCAAAGCAATATGGTGCTCATGAATTGAAGTAACCCGCTCTTCCCTGATGATAATTGAAATTAAGTTGATCTGTTTGTTCAATAAAAAAAAAGTGATTGATAGGGATAGCTATGGCTCTGACCTAAGACACCTTATTGGAGGGCCTCACCCAACTAGATAATAGCCTTATAAAAAAGCATGATGCAAGAAAATTCTTATTGCCAAAGGTCATTTCGAGGAAGAGACAATACAAATTAAATCGGGTCATTGCCATAGGCTGTTGCTAGCTGATGAACAAAAATAAACCCCCTACCTTTCTGAATTCTAGATGGGAATGTGACGAAAAGAAAGAAAAAGAGAGATGAGAATGTTGGTGCATGGGGTCACACAGACAGTGTTTGATAAGGAGAGCAAGTGGACCCTTTGATTCACGTGAACAATGCATCTTGCAAAATACGAAATTATATATATGCGAAATGAATAGTGCCAGAGTAATTTCCTTAACAATCAATTATGTTATGTTATCAAATTACATCAATTATGTTAGAGTTGACAATATAAATATGTTATGAACAACATGGGTTCATTCAGTTGGTAAGGTGCGAGGTGTGCGTTGAGCCCCAATTGAGTTTAATACTCGTTGCCAGCAGTCCCATCCCATGTTGGTGAGTAATTTAGAAAATATCTTGTGTAATTCCATACCGGGATGCAGAGGGGGATAATGGTCTCTTGGGTCAATCAACCAGCTCCAGGTCATAGGTTTGCCATGGAATTGGTGTGGGAGTAGCCTCTCCTTTCCCTAAACTTTTTTATACCATATAATATAAATATATTATGTTATCGGAGAATCTGATAAAATGTAGTTTTGAGATATGTTAAATATTTGAAAGTAATCATGTTATGATAGTCACATTTAACACCTTTACATACTAATCGCATTTAAACTCTAAGTTGAATGTGAACATGTTATGATAGTCACATCACATACCAATCGCATTTAACCCTAATAATGCATGTTGAACAAGAAGTTTGTGCATGATAAACAAGTTAATGTTTGTGTAGAATATTTATATTTGAGGAAGGGATTTGCATAGCATAATAGATGTGTACAATTCCAGTCAAAGAGTCACAGCTGAGTGGGTGACTGAAAAAGTAAATAATAGGGAATAGAGACAGA